AATCCACTCACCTCAGCTTCCCAAAGGCGCGGGATTACAGGCTGAACCACCGAGCCCGGCTTTTTTTTCCCCTAAATTGATTCTCTCCTCAGGTCATGTTGTTCTGTTCAGCTCCTTGAATGAACATCATGCTTTCCTTCTGCACTACAGCCTCTTTGTAGGCTGTCTTTAGTCTACAACTAGCTCAGTTCTCACCTTTGTGAAACCTCTGGTCTTACCCCTTAAAGCAGTGTTTTTTCCTGCCATCTTCTCTGCTGCTTTATACCTGCATCCCCTTTTGTTGCACACTGCCAAAATGGAAACGCTTACTAGTCATTTTGGAGATTGACGGAGGGAAAGCTAAGGATAACCTGGAATTTTTAACTTAAATTTGGGAGTCCTCAGAAGACATAATTGTAGCTATTTAAAGGACAGAATATAGAAGAGCATAGAGCAGAAGCTAGGGTCTAATTGCCCAAATAGGCTATAGGGAAAAGAAAGGAGATCCAGTGAAAAGAATTAAAGGAATGAACAGTAGTTAAGGAAAAACTCACACATACAGGTCATTGAACTCAAAAGACTGCAAGGTTTATGGTTAGTGGAAATGCAGCAGAAAGGCTGAGAAGAATGGTCAGGGAGAACAAAGAAAAGCCTTGGATTAAAAAAAAAAGTAATCATTCTTTAAAAATGTTATATTTATAATGTGATTCTAATATATTGTTAAATAGTTAAGGAAAATAATGATATTAAGGTAATGGAGGCAGTATTAATAAGAAACACAAATGTGTTTTTTCTTTAAATTTAAGTATCTTTGCTCAGTAATAAACACCGTACAAAAATACATTCACCAAACACTGGATATTGAAACATTTATAATTAAGATTATTCAAGTATTTTTCAGTGTATATTGTAGCTACATGGATTTGTCTTAAATACACAGCAAATTAGTTGTGTAAGCTTCCCCATGAAAGTAGAATATTCATATTTTCTCTCATATATTATAAGAACCAAGAGATATTTGTTGTCAGTGAAAGATCAGCACTCGCTAGTACTGGTGAGTTAAAAGGACGTTGACTTCTAAAAAATCACATTAAATTGGAAAAATAATGTCATCTTTCACTATGTCTTTAAGACTCATTCCAGTTATTTGGGGAATGGTAAATTTGACTCTTAAGAAAGTTAATCGTTTGGCCGGGCTTGGTGGCTCAGTCTGTAATTCCCAGCACTTTGGGAGGTCGAGGTGAGTGGATTGCCTGAGCCCATGGTTCGAGACCAACCCAGGCAACTTGGTAAGAGCTCGTCTCTACAATAAAATAAAAAAAGTAGCCGGGCGTGGTAGCACACGTCTGTAGTTCTGGGCTAACTGGAAGTCTGAGGCAGAAGGATCGTTGGAGCCTAGAAGGTCGACGCTGGGGTGACTGTGAGTGTGCCACTGTATTCCAGCCTTGGTGAAGGAGTGAGGCTTCAACTCCAAAAAAAAAAAAAGTTAATCATTTGGAATATATTTTCTGTTTATACTATCTTTTAAACTATAATTTCATGAATTACAATGCAAATAAAAACCCTTCCAAATAAAAGTAGCTTATAGAGACCAAATCTGTGTGTATTATCTATTTTTATTCGTAGTAATTTCAAAGTATATTCACAGCATGCGGTTTCTGTCATTTTTTTTTTTTTATTGTCCAAAGATCTCAAAAGATCTTGTGATTTATCTCCTATTGTTCTTTCACCCTGGCAAAATTGTACATTATGACTGTGTGAACTAGCCATATTCTGACTAGTTCAACTGTGCTCAAATATTGGCTAGAATGGTTCTTTTCCAATTTTTAATTATAAGACAGTATTAACTATGTCCTTATGTGATTAAGATACTAAAGTAATTTTGGGGATTAATATAAACAGAAAATAAAACACTTTGCAGTGATTAAATTATACTTTGATTCTGGGTGGTAAAATTTGGAAACATTGTGGGAAGCATGAAGTTATATGTAGAGTATGCTCTTTGTATAAATATTATGATGAACTGTTGTACTGGTCTTTTTTTTTTTTTTGGAGTTGGAGTCTCACTCTGCTGCCCAGGCTGGAATACAGTGGCATGCTCACGACCACGCCAGCTTGGATCTGCTGGGTTCCGGCGATCCTTCTGCCTCAGCCTTCCAAGTAGCTGGAACTACAGGCGTGCGCTACCATGCCCAGCTAATTTTTTATTTGTTGTAGAGATGAGGACTCACCATGCTGCCCGGGCTGATCACGAACCCACGGGCTCAGGCAATTCACTCTATTTGGCCTCCCAAAGTGCTGGGATTACTGGCTGAGCCACCAAGTCTGGTCTGTTGTACTGCTTTGAACATTATAGAAATTATTTAATACTTGTTTAGTGGGTATGTGAGGGTCATATTTTAGGGTAATTACTTTATTAATAAGTTTTAAATATTTAAAAATTATGGTTTTTTTTCCCCTAAATAATTAGTGGCTGATGTTTACAAAAGATATTTGTTGTGACTTAACATAGAAATTCAGGAATCTTAGTGTATTTTGATATGTTATATATTGGGTTAACAAGCTTTTTCCATTCTAACTAAACTAATTGTGTTTTAAGAATATTTATTTGTATATATAAAATAGATGTATGAAAAGCTTCAATAGTATACTTTTTTCCAGTATACCTAAACTAAATGAGTTTTAAGAATTTATTTATGGTTTTATATAAATAAACACTACACACAATCACACACACAGACACACACACGCACACGCGCGCACACACACACACACACACACACACACACACACACACACACACACACACACGCCTTTTAGTCATATACTCTTTTTTGCCCTAAAATTATCCCCAGGATTTTTATTTCAATTGTAAAATTTTAAGGTGAAATATTTTTAACCAACACTTAGCATTTTTTTTTTTTTTTTTTTGAGTTGGGGTTTCGCTCTGTTGCCCTGGCTGGAGTGCGGTGGCACTCTCACAGCCACCCCAGCATCGACCTGCTGGATTCCAGCCATCCTTTTGCCTCTCAGCCTTCCAAGTAGCCAGAACTACAGGTGCATGCTATCACTCCCATCTAGCGTTTTGATTTATTGTAGAGATGAGGTCTCGCCAAGTTACCTGGGCTGATCTAGAACCCATGGGCTCAGGCAATCCACTCGCCTTGGCCTCTCAAAGTGCTGGGATTACAGGCTGAGCCACCAAGCCTGACCAACACTTAGTTTTTTATATGAGGAAGTTATTGTTCAATCTTACATAAATCTACTAACCCACTTAAGGATCTCTCAAATTTAACAGATCCTGAATGTCAGTCTATGACACTTATTTAGTCAATACATACTTTTATCCCAAATTATATGTAAATTTAAAATATTTTGTATATAAAGATTTTATATTTAAATATTTCATTTAAATTATATTAAATTTTAATTCTGCTTTTCTTCTGTGATTTATTTGTATTGATTAGCATTCCTGCTTTGTTGCCCCTGATGTAACTGGCCTCCCAACAATACCCGAGAGTGTAAGTTTTTTGTTTCTACTTTAATTATTGTACTTATGAGTTTCATTTACTTTGGTTTCACTGTTTATGGATTCTTTATAGAGAATAGGGTACTTTGCAATTTCTGTGTTTGTAAGAAATAATGAAGAAATAAAGAATAATTGTGTTATCTTCTTTTCCTCTTTGTATATCTGCTCCTTTAACCCATTCTTAATTTCTGGTTGTACGTAAGGAAATTAAGGACAATATGAGAAAAACTATTTCTGGCATTTGGAATAGTTAGGTAGGAATATGTGTGTGTGTGTGTGTGTGTGTGTGTGTGTGTGGTGTGTGTGTGTGTATGCTATCATATACTTGATATATATATTATATATATACTTAATTTTATATATATATATATATCAAGTAGAGGAGATGTCTCAAGAGATGGCTCCTATGAAGGGGAAGAATACTAGCGATGGAATATGTCTTCACAAAAGTAGTTACTTTAGTGAAACGACCATAATATTTTAAATTCCTTGTCTTTAACACTGTCTAAATCTTAGACATTCTGTACTTAATTTCCTGATTTTAATTTAAAGTAATTCATGCTTTGCAAGGCTTGAGCAACATTATAATAAATTATAAAATTTGCCTAATTTTGCATTTTATTTAGAGTTTTAATTGTGGCCATACTAGAAATATTTTGTGTTTTAATAGTTATTACTAACATGTAGAAAAATTTACATGGATAAGTGGAAGTAGCAAATATGATTTTATGATTTTGAATAGCTGTGTGAAAAGGAAGTATTGCCTTTCATAGTTTTTCTTCAGCTTCCCTTGCAAAGTAAAAATGAATCAGTAGCTATAATTCAATTAAAAATGAAGGAAGGGCCAGACACAGTGGCTCAAGCCTGTAATCCCAGCACTTTGGGGGGCCGAGGTGAGAGGATTGCCTAAGTCCAGGGGTTGGAGATCAGCCTGGGCAACTTGGTGAGACCTCGTTTTTACAATAAATCAAAAAATTAGCCAGGTGTGGTAGCATGCACCTGTAGTTCTGGCTACTTGGAAGGCTGAGGTGGAAGATTTGCTTGAGCCCAGCTGGTCGTCACTGGGGTGGCCGTGAATGTTCCACTGCACTCCAGTCTGGGTGACGAAGTGAGACTCCAACTAAAAAAAAAAAAAAGAAGAAGAAGAAGGAAAAATCAATATGAAAAATTAATTCAAGATATTATGTACTTCAGAATTTTACTGTTTTTCCAAATATGTTTTCAAACCTACTGTTTGGTTTCGAAAACCACATAAGTAGTGAAAGAAGTCCAAGAAGATGATTATAAATTTTCAAATATCAAATCAAGACTATCGATGGTGCTTTTAGTACAGATGAATCCAGATAACCCTTATGAAAAGACTTTGCATCAAGTTGTTCTTAACATGGGTCTGAGATAGATCATCAAAGCTCTCAGATTACATGATAGATCCTGAAGTGTTGACTGTCCAGGTAGGTCAGGTACTGCTCTCTGTTATATTTCCATTAAGGCTGAGTGACCATGCCTTGACTAAAATGACCCTGAGTCTCTTCACTTCACTCGCTAATACAAAGTCAAACTCTTACTCCCTTTTATTCTCTCTCCTATTTACCTTTTTCTTACATTTACTAACAAACAGCTAATCTTGATTTAACAAATGACACATTTTAATTTTTTTATTGAGAGAAATTTTTTTTTTGAGTCAGAATCTCACTGTCATCCAGACTGGAGTGCAGTGGCACCAAATTATGGCTTTCTACAGCCTCTATCTCCTGGGTTCAGGCGGTCCTCTCACCTCAGCCTACTGAGTTAGCTGGGTCTACAAGTGTATACCACCACACCCAGCTAATTTATTTGATTTTTTGTAGAGACAGGTTCTTGCTATGTTGCCCAGGCTAGTCTTGAACTCCTACCTCAAGTGATCCTCCCACCTTGGCCTCCCAAAGTGCTGGGATTACTGGCATGAGCCACTACAACCAACAAATGTCACATTCTTAAAAAATCCTGTTGCTTTGAAAGTTTTAAAGAAACAAGTATTCTAAGAAAAACCCGCCACCGAGAATATACATTTTTACTTTTCCATTAATACATTTTATTTTACAAAAAGCCCCGTATAGGGAAAGAAAGGAAGGGACATTAGCAGAATGCTGTAAAAGCAGCGTTCTGTACTAAGTCATTCCTCATCTAAAAAGTATCTTTCTTTGAGATTACAGAAAAAATATTAATGTTGAATGCTATTAATTTCGTATATGAAGAGTTGAATTGGAAGGTGAGGTAGCTTTCAAATAGAGAAAACAGAAAATGATCTCTCCCACCAAATTTAACATCACTCTGTGATAGCTATAGGTTCTATTGATATGTTTTGTCATGATTACCAATTTATCATGGTAAAGCTTTTATCTTTTGAAAATGGAAGAAACAATTGAATTGCTTTTTTTTCTTACTTAACTCAAAGTTTTAGGAATCTAGGTCATAGTCTACCTGGTATTCCACAGTTTCAGTTTATCCTATCTTATTCAGTTTCTTCATTAGTTTGTTGCTTTTTAATGTGCTTAAATTGGATTATAGTAATAAAAAATGATATGTAAGAGAAGATCTAAAAGTCAAAGTAAATGTAGCTTGTCTCAGTTTTGTTCTTATGTGAGGGAGATAATTTAAGATACCAAATTGAGCAATCAATTTAGATCACCAGTTAATGTTTGTTTATAGTAATATAAAGCAAGCCTGAAACGGGGTATAAACAAGGGATTTTCCTTAATAAAGGAACCAAAGAACTGCTTTATAAATCCACCTCATTCTTTGGGTGCCTTGTATATACTAAGCAGTATCAGATAATGATTATGCCTGCATTATGATTGGCAATTATGAAAAGACTCAAATGGATTTGCTGGGGCAGTGATTTCTCAAGCATCAGTGTGTATAAGAATAACTAGGAGTATTTGTTTAAAAAGCAAATTCTTGGGTCCATACTCTGAAGATTACAATTCAGCAGGTCTAGATTGGGACCCAGGAAATTAGCTTCTTTTCAAATACTTAGAAGGTAGGGAGGGTGGGAAATATGTGGTTTTTTGACCACCCTCTCAGAAATACTTTCCTGGAGAAGGGATATGTTTCAAATAATAATAGAATATTATATGCTTCATGTGGCAGCAGAATAGTATTACATTTAATTATTTTAATGAATACTATTTTTAATAATAATACCCTTTGATCTTTAAGGATTTCTGTCAATGCATAAAACGTTTTCCTTCATATTCACCATGAGCTATAACTTACACAGTTATTTTTCACTTGTACAGAGAAATCTTACAGAATATTTTGTTGCTGTGGATGTGAACAATATGCTGCAACTGTATGCCAGTATGCTACATGAAAGGCGCATCGTTATTACCTCTAGCAAATTAAGCACTGTAAGTACTTCACACTTTTCCTTGTAAGTAGCATGTATTGAGTGTTTCACAAAAAGACCTAAAAACCTCTGCAGATTTAGAAATGTGCTATGTGTACTTATAAGACAATATCTACATACTTTTTTTGATATATGGTTTTAATCTGGCTCTTGAAGGACAAAAGTCTGATTTATAGGAAGCCTTCTCAGATGCATTAAGTCAGGTTAATTATTTTTTCTTATCAGGAGATGAGAGTTTTTTTTTTCTTTTTAACTCTCCAGAGTTCATTTTTAGTGCCTTCTACCATATAAAGAATTCTTAAGAGCTATTATGAGATCTTTATTATTAACTTGTGGGTTTTTCCATTGGAGCTACTTGAAAGAAATCAAGGGGCCATGATAATAGCTGCTATCCTAACCTGGTAATAGGTAGATTCATCTTTGTTGCCAAGTAGTGGTTTGGGAGTAGATTTTATAATAGTTTGATTTGGAGGAGCTCTTCAGACTGATAATAACTTAAAAGTCAATGCAGCATTTTTTATAAATCACAGGTTTTATGATAGTCACTAAAATGTTCTTTTGGAAGATCTTCATTACTGTGGTAAAGGCAATGAGAATAGGATTTTTCTTGGGTCACAGAAAAAGATTCAAAAATACTTTGATATACTTCATAATTTTTTCTCCTTTAGGCATTAGAAATTTAATATTTTCAACTTAAAAATTTTAATACAAATTTTTTTTACAAATTTAAATACAGTTTTGAGTAATCTATGAGATATTTATTAAAAATGGTTATTCAATATTGCATGAATTTGCTTGTTCACAAATTTAATTGATAAAAAATGAAACCATAGTTTTAATGTTTTATTCTCCTATCATAGAAATAAAAACCTCATTCTATAATATTTTAGCATTTTAGAGTAGAAGAAGTTTTAAGGTTTCTCTAGGATGTCTATTTAGTATTTCACAGTGAGAAAGTTATTTTCAGAGAGATTAAATGGTCACCCAAGGTCAAACAGTTAGTTGGAGAGAGGTAATGTGAAACTGGGTCTCCTGATTCTAATTTTTTGGTTCTTTCCATTACTCCACAATTGAAAAAGTACAATTTTAAGATTTTGAATTGTGATATTAGTATGCACACTTTTTCCAAAACTTGAAAATAAAGTTTGCATATTAAAAATATATGTATTTAAAAGGAATGTGTAGAAATGACATTGTGATATCAGAGAATAAGCATTTGTCAGTGACACAAGTAATTAAGTTTTTCTTTTTTTTTTTTTTGAGTTGGAGTCTCACTCTGTTGCCCAGACTGGAGTGCAGTGGCCGCTCCCGGCCACCGCAGCCTCAACCTGCTGGGCTCCGGTGATCCTTCCGCCTCAGCCTTCCAAGTAGCCGGAATTACAGGCATGAGCTACCACGCCTGGCTGATTTTTTGATTTATTGTAGAGGTGAGGTCTCGCTGCCGAGGCCAGTCTCGAACCCGTGGGCTCAGGCAATCCACTCACCTCAGCCTTCCAAAGGTGCGGGATTACAGGCTGAGCCACCGAGCCCGGCACAAGTAATTAAGTTTTTCTTACACAAGTTAGAGAGATGTTGAAAAATTCAGTCTGAATCATTTGATACTTTCATGTATTTGCTTTTCTGCCATTTTTAACTTACCATTGAAATGAAACCATTCTTCACTTTCCTGCTCCTCTTCCTCATTTTTGAACATGATTTAAAAAAAAAAAGATTATAAAGAATACTTCTGTGTGAATATTGTCTTCAAGATTAAAAAGATTATACAAACTGTCTTATAAACCTAGGAACTAATTCTTATCTGGATTAATTCATGTAACAAATGCTACATACCACATGTGAGGAACTTTCTAGGTAGTAAAAATTCAGCAGTAAACAGATCAAAGTCCAAGCCCTCTTGGTCCTTATATACAACTGACATGAAACAGACTATAAACAAATGAATAAATAAATAACTATTGTATTGTAAGGCAGCGAATACCAAGGGGCAATGGTTAACATTAATGTGTGTATAGGGTAGAAGGTGAGGGTCAGGTTTCTATGTTATCTAAGATCATGGAAGGAATGCCTCTTCAGTGAGAGAGTATTTTTGTTAGTATATTGAGATGGAAGTCTTGCTATGTTGTCCAGGCAGGTCTCAAACTCCTGGGCTCTAGCAATCATCTTGCCTGCCAGGGGTCCTCAAACTTTTAAAACAGGGGGCCAGTTCACTGTCCCTCAGACCGTTGGAAGGGCGGACTATAGTTAAAAAAAAAAAGAAAAGGAATTTGTTCATAGTTTTTTTTTTTTTAAAACTATAGTCCGCCCCTCCAACGGTCTGAGGGACAGTGAACTGGCCCCCTGTTTTAAAAGTTTGAGGACTTCTGCTAGACTTTGGAGTAGCTGGGACTGCAGGAATGGTTTATGGCACCTGGCTCATAGAGGTGGTATTTGAGCAGGGATCTGAAGAAAGTGAGGGAATGAGCTATGTGAATGAAGTATAAGCTGCTCTATTTATGAAAGCCTTAGAAGTAAATCTGAATACTGCTTTTGAAAAATATGGGTGTTTTTCTTTGTTTTAATTTACATCCATCTCTTAATTACCGAGTAACCTCTCTTTGACTAGTTTCTTTAGTAAAGTGGGAGTAATGCTAGTCTTAATCTTGTAGGGTTGCTATAAATGTTAAGGAAACATACACACAGACACACTTGAAGTTCTTAGAATTGTATCGGCATAGGATAAATTTTTAATAATTATTTGCTATAATTTTATAATAATCTGGGTCTACAGTTTAGAGTAAAATTAAAATGACTATTCTTTGACTTAATATGCGACTTAAAAAACGAATTGTTATTGTAAAGGTTTTATGTTATTCAGGGAGTTGTTTCCTATGTTCGAGGTCAACTTAGTATCAGTTGTTTATGACAGTTCATGAAAATTTGATGGTGATGTCACCTCTAAGTTACCAGCTCTGTTTTGGTTCACCCTCTGGGGCAGCTAAGCTGATAAAAGAAGCATAATTCAAGTTTTGTTTCATGATGTTCTTACCCTTCTGATGTGGGTGAATTTGCTTTACTTGAATCTATCGTGAATGATTCTTTTATATATACAGTATATAAAAATATATCTGTAAATTCCATGCATAGTAACATTTAAGGTCAAGGACTAGTTCCTTAACATAAATTAGAAATAAGATATTTTCAAAGGAATTTAAGGAAGTCTCTGGAACATCCAAGAAAAGAAAAGTTATAAATGAATAGACTTGCTTTTAAGCTTTTCACATTTTTCTTATATTTTTATATACCATAGAAAATGTACTTAATATTAATGCAAGAAATTGTTTGTAACCTGTTTTTTATTTTTTAAGTATACTGCCAAAATTTTAATTATTGGAAGGACACATATAAGTTAAGGACACATATAATTTTATTGTGGTTTCAGAAATTTTGTTTACCTCAGTTATTTATTCTTTGACAATCATAATTTTCATGATTATAATGGAATGATATTTGTCAACCTTGCAGCTTATTGTGTGCTTTAATGGTTATACTATGGTAGGGAATCAACTAACTTGAGGGTCTCTTTCTTTAGGTGCTGTTTGTAATTAAAAATTATAATTTGTGAACTTAATAAAGGTAAACTTTAAAATAAAAATAATTTTAAGCAAAAATATTAAGAATATTGTTACATTTTAACATTTTTAATGTGTTTTCTCCCTGTATCTTAAAGTGTGATATTATGTTAGGACCTATTGTATTTTACATGCTTGCATTTAATGAATGGAGACATAATCAGTTTTTGTTTTATTCTGCTGATTTTTACATTATCAAGTACACATAGAAAGGTTTCTAGTAGGCTGACAAGAAAATAGATTTTATGCATGCTGTAGGCAGGCCCTAGATATTAAAGACCCAAGTGAACCTTGGTAGACAGTAGAAGATCAGAGTCTTATGTATTCAAAGCAAAAGAATAAATCATGATATTACAAGGATGTATCAGTTGACTTATTGCTGTTTTGTGACCATAGGTAAGGAAGATTGCTGTTTAAAGCCATGTCATTGGTTCTCAAATCAGTCAGGCATGAAGCCTTGTCATATGCCTCTATAATTGTACCTCACCAGACTTTCTCTAACTAGTCAGCTGGGGCTGTGCATTTTGTCTCAAACACCCGGCTGGCCAGCGTCTGACAGGAGCTTTCTCATCATCCTGTCAGTAATATGTTAACTAGAGTGTATTTTTGTGGCCTGTAGAAGCAGGTGGAAGAGATACTTCTCTTTAAAGCAGATGTCTGGATGTTAGCTATTATTTTGACCAATATTTACTTGGTAAATACCACTTTTTAAAAGTCTATAAGCACATTAGTTACAGAGATTTGGTTGGTGCATGTTCTTTTTGGAATTTTTAGATCAAGCAATGTGGGATGAGTGCTGGAATTACGTTAATAAACTAATTTCTTCCTTTGTTATAGTTGCCCCCAGGCATTTAAGCATATGCTTTTCTCTCCTTCTCTCATTAATTCTATCAAGGGCATATGCAAAAAGAAATCTTGTGAGCTCTGGAAAATCAGCTATTAAAACATAGATTTTTATAGGTGTAGTCAGACTGAAAGGGAATCCAGAGGATTTTAACCTCTTCATCTGGATTATACATATTCTTGATTTATCTCTTAATGGGGCCACCTGCATTAGCATTTAATCTAAAACTTGAAACACAGTGATTCTTTCTGGAGATTAAGAATTGAACAGTTGGTGAGAGAACAAAGATTACCCAGATCTGCTTTCAGTTAGGGTCCTTGAAGTGTGTTTTTGCTCCTTGTGTTTTGAAGCTGCAGCAGAGTGTCCTAGTTAAAAAATGGTTATCAGGACCTCTTAGGGAGAGAGATTCTCCAAACAATTTTTAGAATTTTAATTCTTCCCCAAACCCATAGCAACCAATATGTCAACTGAGACTGTAACTGATAATTCTACTTACCGATTTATTGTTTGACACACATATTGCCATTCTGAACCTTGTATTTTTATTCA